GGGGGGGGGGGGGGGCAGAGCTGACCCGCAGTGTGCTGACATGATGATGAGCCAGGAAATGAAAGTTACTGTAAGTATCTGATAACAATCTGAGAAAAGGAACAAAAGAGAGCGCCTCCATAGGGTAAAAATGTTATTTAATAGTAAAAACACGCAGCTCTAAGGCTTCACTTACAACAGTTCGGTAGAATAAAAACCAGTAGAATAAGCTGAGAGGACGGAACCCCTGGCAGGGAGGATCTGGAGCGATGTAAAACACCAGTAACCTTGATCTCTGTATTGATAAATGGTTAACCATTTATCCAATACACCAATACGCCATTTAACCAATGGTGTATTGATAAATGGTTAACCATTTAACAATACAGGGATCGAGGTTACTGGTGTTTTACATCGCTCCAGATTCTCCCTGCCAGGGGTAATATTAGATTGTTTTTTCTCAATCAAATAATTAAACATATAAACTAAAAATAAAGACATTTTAGAAGTATGACCTGAGGAAATGTGAAAAAATACTTTTATTGTGTTAACATGTTATTTAAAAAATGTACTGCTGGGTCTTGCCCACCAAAAAGAGAGGTCCAAAATTGTTGACACCATATCAAACAGCACATTTTTAAAATGCTTGCAAATATAAAAGATGCCTCAGTGGATCTGCAACGTGGTAGTTAAAACAACATAAAAAATTAAGAAACATCAAATGTCCATATTCAAAAAGTTTCAGACAGGTTCCCATGAAATATCTTTGAAGTATACACTGAGTGGCCAGATTATTATGACCACCCCATCAGTACTTCGTTGGGCCACTTTTTGCCTTCAATACTGCGGCGATTCTTCTTGGCATTGACTCCACGAGATGTCGAAAGGTGATGCGAGGAATCTGATACCATGCCTGATGAATAGCACTGTCCAGTTCTGTGAGATTTGATGGTTGTGGAACTAGCTGCCTGATGGCTCTTTCAACTTCATCCCGCAAATGCTCAATTGGATTGAGATCTGGTGATTGTGGGGGCCACCTAAGCTAGGTAAATTCTCCCTCATGTTCTTGAAACCACTCCTGCACAATATGAGCACTGTGGCATGGCGCATTGGAAGAAGAATGGCTCTGAGTGCCAACAATCATCCCACGTTCAAAGGCTGTTAAATCGCGTCGTTTACTCATATCTTCAGAAAAAAAATCACTTCTACTGTCGTGGTAAACAACCTGCTTCCCTATTTAAAATGGTATGGCCCTCTAGCAACTTCAGCGCGAAATTATAGCTAATTTGCCAACAAACGTTAGGTGGTCATAATAATCTGGCCACTCAGTGTATATTGCAACTGGTAAGTTCCCCTGTGTTTCTCAAAGTAGATATCCAGCACTTAAGTATATCATTGGTTGTTCCCTCAAGTGATTTGTATTCACATGAGATTACTAATCCTCAAGATTATTCCAGGTAATTTCCACTATTTTGAGAGTACAATTAATTTTATTCATCGTTCAGCACTAAAATTACATGTACTATTAATATAGTAGATGTTATTTACTAATAATCATGTGAATTACTAACATGCTTGCATGATGGACCAGTCATTACCATATACAAAAATGTTGGATAGATACTCTTTAGAGAAACACAGGAGAACTCACCAGATGTTCTTTAAAGCTGTCTGGTGGAAACTTGTCTCAAACTTGAATGTTTGTGCCATTTTTGCAAGCTTTTTAATTATTTATTGTTTAATACTGTGGGGATGATTTACTAAAGGAATAAAGCATGTTCAATTTGCAAGATAATTTTCACTTTTCAAAGGAAATATTACTTGGCTTAGTGAATGTACAGAAGCTGTGCTGACTTCAATCATCCAGTCACGTGCAAGCAAGTTAGATATACTTTGCAAAGTGAATGGATCTGTCCTCTTGGTTGGTGAGACTCAGTGCTAAATTTTACATTAGGTGTGAACACAAAAGAGTTATTTTTCACATTTCCTATGGTCATACTCCATGAACTTTCTTTACTGTTCATTTTCATGTGTGAATAAAAAAATCATGTATTTGACTGGAATCTATTCCTTTGCTTTAGGGTTCTCCTTAGTTCAATATCTACATCAGGTAGTAAAAGTTGTGTAATCATACTTCTGTAGAAATTTAAGACAGTAGCATTATATATGCCAGCCATACAATTTTTTTTCTCTTGCAACAGTTCTGCACACCTGTGTCATTGTTATGAACTCTACATATAAGTAAGGTCAACACATAAATATATAATAAGTGCAACACAATATTAGCACCAACCAAGCTGAAACAGATTTACTTCTAAAGTACAAATAAAGAACTAAAAGAATATTGGGCAATTATTCCAATTCCTGTCAACGTCTAGTTAAAGGCCCCATCAAGTGAAGTGATTCAAATAATTATTTTAACAAATGTGGTTAAGTGATGGATATTCAAGAAGACAATACAAATCTATAGGCAAGTTTGGCTTATTATTCTTAATTTATAACTGCAGACCATTATAAGGCAGAACGGCTGTCTCATAGTACAATCAGCCTTCATATCAAATAACAGTTAACATAAAAATCTAGTTAATGCCCTTTTTGGCATATGTGAACTTAGGGGGAGGGGATAGAATCTTTAGGTTTTTTTGCTGTCTTTGTCCTCTCCTGTGGAAAAATCTACCCTTACAGTTTTTCATGGTGATCATTGTCCCCAAAACAGTGAGAGGGTAGAAATCCACATACTTTACTGTTGTATAATGATAGCAAACAGAGGTTACACATTTTCCAGACTCTATAATAACAGTAAACCACTTAAGTCAGAAATCATATGTTATCATGTTTAACTAAAACACAAACCGTGTATTCCACAAAACTGGGAA